GTTGAAATTGGTGATCCAGTGTTACTTTTTGGAAAGTTATGGCAAGAACTTGGATGTGGTGAAAGTGAAAAATTTGGTTACTTTTGTTGATATTTTTGAAACCAGAAACGGTTTTGAGGGAATTCAAAGAGATTTAGGGAGCTAAGCACATGGATTTTCCATATCCAATCCAATTTCTCTGATACAAGATACTTTGCTAACAAGTTTTCAGCCAATAAGGGGGTCAAGTGGTGGAAAGGGGGTTTTCAAACCCGATAAAATGGAACCCAGAGCCATAACTAGCTAACCAAATGAGAAACTAAGAGTTTTATTGGAATCTACAGGTCGGAATACAACTTATGAACATGTTATTGGAGTACCGCTGAGGTGTTGGAGGTCCAATTTCAGCTGGTATGTACCTCATTTTCTCTTGATTTATTTCCCTGATCCTCAAAACCCATCCAAAACCGCCCAAAATTCGCGGAAACCAGGCAAAATTCGCGGAAAACCAGGGAAAATCCGATCAATGGCCTTGAAAAATCCATCCAAGGGTCCATGAAAACCCCTGTTTTTGAAAATTCCGGATCAAATTTGATGGTGGATGGTGGTTTTTAAAGGTGGTTTCCATATCAAAATTTAGAGAATTTTACAGTCAAGGTGTCAGATTTGGCACAAGTGAAGTTGTTGAGATTGGAATAAGCAGAATATGGTGGTGTGGTGATACATGGGTGGATTGTGAATCCGATAAAATGAACACTGCAGCCCGTCAGAGAAACTCCCATGTTCAAAGGGGTACTGTTTTGGAAAGTAGAGGTGGAAATACAATTTTGGGTGTTTTGATTGTCGCTCTAGAGCTACATTTTGGAAAGTTGTGATGCAAAGTTTGAAACCCGTGAAACAGTATTTCAAGTGTTTTTTGAAAAATATTCTTAAGCAGATGGTGCAATTCAATGGAATCTCCAACTTTTCAAGGTAGCTAAATGGCTAGAGTTCTATGTGGTGGTGTTTTTTCGCTGGTATGTGGCGTTTTGGAGAAGTGTGATACCAAAGAAGTGATGAAGTCAGTGTTTTCCGGGTGTTTGGGTACCATGAATGGTGAAATATTTTGATGACCAGAACACTTGAGAGGAAGCTATAAAGCTCGGGTGGTACTTCTCGCTGAGACACACATTTGATACATACAACTTTACTGTTTAAAAGGCAATGCTGCAAGGTTATCACCAAAACAAGATTTTGCCAAAATCGAAAATGCGATTTTTGGACCCTCTATTTTTGAAGATATTTCAGCCCACAGAAGTGATATTGAGAAACGGGGAAAAGATTTGAGATGCTGCTGTTACCGCGCACTAGTGAAGACCTGTTTGATGAAGTATAAGGGGTGAATCCCGAAAGTTAATGGGAAAACATGGTTTTTGGGCACCTCTAAAAAACATGTTTTTTGAGAATATCTTTTCAACCAGTGAGTGAAATTGAAAATGGGGTCCACCATATGAAAATTCAGAGCTTGATTGACCCTAAGGACTTTTTACTTTGGACGCGCTGGGCTGTTAATGGTGTTGAAATTGGGTTTAAAGTCAAAATTTGGACTTTCAGAAATACCCTTAATTCAGACTTTTCGAAAACTTTTTTTTTTGAAAAAAAGTGATTTCTTAACTATGGGAGAAAAAAAATGAAACCCGTGTTTTGGGATTATTTACTGAACTAAGAAGCTTTTCGAGGTATAGAAAAGGGTTTCTATATCTAATTTTGGTCTATTTTTTAATGGGTTGGTTGCAATTTCAAAATTGTTTTTGGTTGTGTTTTTATCAGTTAAGTTGTGTTAAAATTTTGGAAATTTGATATTTAAGAATCCGATAAAATGGAGACTACAGCTTCTCAGAGGAGCTCCCATGTGCAAGGTGGTATTACTATGGAAAATAGAGGTGGAAATACAACATCTGGAGTTGAAATTGGTGATCCAGTGTTACTTTTTGGAAAGTTATGGCAAGAACTTGGATGTGGTGAAAGTGAAAAATTTGGTTACTTTTGTTGATATTTTTGAAACCAGAAACGGTTTTGAGGGAATTCAAAGTAGATTTAGGGAGCTAAGCACATGGATTTTCCATATCCAATCCAATTTCTCTGATACAAGATAC